CCGATGGTCAGGTCCAGCGGCTGCTCCTCACTGGACGCCGGGGTTGAGGGGGCTTTGGGGGTGGGCAGGACAGGTTTCACCTCTTTTGGTTTGGTGGTGAGATCGAAGGGGCACTCAGCGCTGGGGCCGCCCACCTTAAGGGCATCCCGGGGCGACTTTGGCTCAGCCTTGACCAGCAAGTTGTGGGTTAGGGCTCGGTCCGTGAAGGGGTAGAGGGCGTGGGGGAAGTTGGGCAGGAACTGGAAAGGGAACACCGAGTGGTAGGGTAAGGAGCCCAGCTTCTTCTCCTGCATCCCCATGAAGCCGGGGCCAAAGTACTTCTCCGCGATGGACGCGATGGCCTTGATGGAGTCTCCCGCCGCCCCCGACGCAGTTAGCAGCTGCTCCTCCGGCGGCGGGAAGAACGAGTGCTGGGAGTAGAAGACGGGCACCTCGGCCACGCTGTTCGGGGCCACCGAGGGCGCTGAGCCCCCTCCATACTCAGGCTTTCCCTCCACCGGCTTGCTTTTGTCCTTGAGCTTGTCGCGGTCACTGTCCACGTCGCTGTCCAGGTCTGAGCCAGTCCCCGTGGTTGTGTCCAGGTCGGTCCCCGTCGTGGTGTTGATGTCCTCAAAGTCACTGCCGTCAGACATGTCACTGCCCCTGGTCTTGAGCTTCTCCACGTATGAGTCCTCCAGGCGGCTCTCAAACTTCTCCTCCGGCCCAGTGGCGGCCGTGGTGCCCTGGCCACTGTTGCTGACTGCAGAGACGAGGGGCAGAGCTGGGTTCCCCAGGGGGCTGGGGAGCTTGGCATCCTGGGTGTGGTTCAGGGGGCTCTTGAGCAACGGCGTGGGAGGTAGTAGAGGCGGCCGGGGGTACAAGGATGGAGGGAAGATGCCTGGGAAGCCAGGAGTGAGTGTGGGGAAGGCAGGAGGGGCAGTGGAGAAGGGCAGCCCCCCAGGGTGTGGCCTGGAGGGGAAGTACTCCCCGAAGCCCAGGCCTGCATGGTTGAGGTTGGGGGAGGGCTTCGCTTTGTCCATCATGGGGCTGGGGGTCAAGGGCAGGCCCGGGGCGAAGATGCCGCCTGGCGTATAGTGGTTCTTGCCCTCGCAGAAGCGCCGGTGCTTGTTGAGGGAGGAGGTCGTGCTGAACATCTGCCCACAGTCCTTGCATTTGATCTGCGTGCGGCAGTCGGCGTGCATGCGTTTGTGCCGGCACAGGTTGGAGAACTGCGTGTAGGACTTGTGGCAGACCTCACCTAAAACATCAGCAGAAGGCAAAGACAAACACGGTATGAAATTACCGGGAAACCCATACCTGGAGCACACAGGACGAGGGACCCGGGAATAGTCTTTCTGCATGTATCTGTGTGCGCATGTGTGTGTATCTCTGTGTGTGCATGTGTAGTGTGTGCATGTATTTATGTGCACACACATCTGCCCACACAACACATATGCATGTCTCTCTTTGTGTGTATATCTACATGTACGTGTACATGTATTATGCAGACGTGTATATACGAGCACATGAGCATGTGCACACATGTCCAGAAGCAGTCTATGCAGGTGTATGTGCATGTGTACACATCTTTATGTTCATGCAAATCCATGCATATATGTGTATGTGCAGGTGTAGGTATGTTCTGCACATGTGCATGTGTAGGTACACAGCAGGTACCCTGGGACTGGCCTCCAGCGACCAGCATGGGTTGGCAAACACCACCTGCACCTTTCCCTGGGTTCCCAGGACCGGTTTGGACAGGTCTGATTGTGCCTCGGTCTTCTCTGTTGGGAAGTGGGAATGCCGCTCTGCTTGCACACTCCTTCCTCTGAGTGTTGCTAAAGCAGGAGCCAAGATCCTTGGAAAGCCCTGGGCAAGCGAACCTGCTCTCCAGGGCTGGGCAAGGGCGAGGCAGAGGCATCCAGCAATGCCCATGGCTCCATAGTGGACCCTGGCATGCTGCCTTCCTCTGCGTTTCAGTGACTGCTATCCCAGCCGGGGGAGAGGAAAACATCAACCAGCCAGATTAGGTCTTCCCCTCTCTGTCCTGGGCTCTGCCACCTGCAAGCCAGGAGAAGGCGACCTCAGGGGTGATTCCTGGGGGTTCTTAGGAGGCACAGCTCCTGGCAGTATTTGGCCACAGTTTGGGGGTGGTTAAGGGCAGGAATGGGAGGGGAACTCGTGAGGGGGCCCTGCAGCTAGAGACTGGTTCCATGTTTGAAAAAAGTGAAAATCCTACTGCCAAGAACCTCCCAAAATGAGATGAAAGAGGCAGTGCCAGGCTTTGGCAGAAGAACACCAGAGTGTTCTTTCAACAGAAGAGGGCAGTGCCGGCTGGAGCGAAACTCCAATACCCAGGGGTCCAGAGACTCCCTCGGCCATTTTCCCAAAGGCCTGTGAGCGGGTGTGAGTGAGTTGCCTGCTTGTCTTTCTCATCTTGTTTTTCTAACAAGAAAGGGAGGGACACACACACACACACACACACACACACACACACAGCATGTATCTTTCTCTGCAGGACAATTTACTTCCTAAATACAGCCCCAGTGGAAACAATGATTTCAGCACGCTTCTTACTCACGAGTCCTCAGCTGCCTGATCGCATGTGATTCTAGCTGGGAGTTTTTTCTCTGAAATGATCACGCTCTTTAATCACAATATCTATTTATAAGAACCGCT